GAAAAAAGTGTTATTTAATTTCATTAACAAAAAATTGAAGATACGTTTTTTCCCTCTAAAATATGCAGTGATATCTTAAAAAACACTAGATTCTATCATTAAAAACTCAAAAACTTTGGTTAAAAAGTTTAATTTAAAAAAGAAATAAAAGAGTAAAAAATACGTCAGGTCAGGTCAAAAAGACTAGACTTTATCATTAAAAACTTAAAAACTCCGGTTAAAAAATTTTATTTAAAGAAATAAAAAAGTAACATATACGTCAGGTTTGAGCTAGGTTTACGAAATATTGAAGAAATCTCATTTGTGATTTAAATTTTTTACCAATTAGATTAATGATTCAAATTAAAACAGGAGTTTAGAACATATTTTGCTGTAGAGTGGTAGTGGTAATTTCAATTAAGATCAGGTTTAGATTTTTTTAAAACATTTCCATTTAATCAAAATTGAATCTTAGTAATCATTTATTTAAAAAAATATTTTAGAAACCCCATTTAAAAATTCAAAACTAAAAGTGTTTCAAACAAAAATCAACTATGTGCATATTTATAAATGCACTAAATCGGGTTTAACCTACGTTTAACTAACTCGAATTAAATTTTTTTGGAAATCTTGTTAAAAAATATTAGATTTGGTCAAAATTTTGATTTTAACATGTGGTAAAAGGATTCAAGTTCTTAGGTCTCTGTACCTAATCATGACTTTAAGTACCCATTTTAAGTTTTTTTATTATAAAATGTTAAGTTTCAATTAAAAAAGTAACTCAATTGTGGTGTTTTAATTCACACCATTTTGGTTTAATACTAAATAATTCAGATTTTTGATTGATGAGTGGAGTAGGATTTGTTATTAGAAAAAAATCAGGTTTGAATTTAGGTTTTATTAAATGAAGGAATTTTAACAACTGTACAATAAAATAATTAAGCTCAGCAACAAGGCAAATATTTTTCGTCAAATGTGATCTCATTTTAATATAATTATCTGTAACCCAAAATAAAGTTTAATCTTTTATTTACAGGACTTATAAATAAGCCAAGCCAGCATTTTTTCCTCTCGATTGCTTTATTATTTCAACACTTTTCATTTAACCCATGATGTCAATCATAAACAGTGTATGATTAGTTGCGGTCCCCCTTATCACGTGCTGATGTCAGTCTTTATCGTCTAGTTTTAGCATCAGCGCGCATAACAAAGCACAATCGCGTCCAGCGCCGACTTCGATCGCTCGACAAAAAAGCCTGGCAAAAGGTGTTGTACAATATAAAAGTCCGAAGAGGCTGTGCATCTATCTGCTATCAGATATAGAGGAGGGAGGAGTGATAGGTGGGTCTGAGTATCGGTACCTCCCACTTCGATAACCCTTTTTCTGCTCGCCTCGGCCCCCACTCCACATCGAATTTTATTATAGTTTTGTCATGTTGTAGTTGCGCACATTGTCCACTTTTTGTCACTTTTTGAGGGGGCGGGGGTAACGCACACACATATGGTTTCGATATCGAAGATCGGGACTCAAACTTAACATGTGTGTTAGGGAGCAGTAAAGTAGCGTTTTTTCAAATGGGAAATAAGGGACGGTGGGGAAATGTCACAGTTGAGGTTGGCGCCGGATAGGAGCGCTGACCCACGCATTTTTGGGACACGCTGTACAACCGAGTTCAAGTTCAAGCGCTAATTGCGCTCGGGAAAGTGGAAAAAACGCAAGTGTTTATAGAACTCGAGGAATAAATATTTCCCAATAAAAACCAATTGTCTACATACAGGGTGTCCCAGCGAGTTGTTACCTTCATTGGTAAAAATAAAACAAAATTGTATAGGACGCTGATAGATATTAATCTAGTGCATCACCTAAAATTATTTTTAACCATACAGTATGTCCTAAAAATAAGTTACAATACAAACTTGTGTTTTTTTAAATGAAACACCGTATGTTTTTTTGCATTTTTAGATGTACCTTTTTAAGACAATGTTTTTACGCTAAACTTTTATTAGTTAATTTTGCTTAGTTTTAAAAATAAGAAGGTTTTTTTGACAAAAACGTGCACATTTTAAAAAAATTTTACACAAAAACTAAGACAGCTAGAACAAATTTTTTCTAACTTTTGCAAAAAAGAAAGTACAGGATTTAAAGCTGTAGCAATTTTTTAGTGTTTTGTATTTGTAAACATTAATAAATTAAGAAGTTTGTTAAAAGTTAAATAACTTAAAAAAATTTAATAGAACACCCTATTTTTTATTATTGCATCTAATAGATTGATAAATTGTCTATCTAAAAAAATAAACTTTTAATGTCTAGAATTGATAAATGAAAAAATATTTAACATTTAATATTAATTGTAGCAACAATGATTATCAATATCGGAGCATTGTTGATACTATAGCAACCATAGTAATTCCACCACGGATCACTTATCCGTTGATTTATCCAAAAATTGTCAAAGTCGTTATAAATACTGAAATTCGAATTATTTTATTGTAAAAATAAAGAATAATGGATTCAGTTTAACACAAATGTGATTATTAATTGATATTTCTTCTATCTCTTGTGCAACTGTGCACTTTTTGACTACTGAAACAATAGTAATTTTTTTTAATGTTTAACGTTAAATATCTTTTTAGTTATTGATTATAAACACTTAAAAGTAAATAATTTTAGAAAGACGATTTAATAATCTTTTAAATGCAAAAACAATAAATAGGGTGTTCCATTTAAATTTTTTAAGTTATTGAACTTTTAACAAACGCCTTCATTTTTTTATCTTTGCAAATGCAACACACTAAAAAAATGTTACAACCTTATAGCTTGTACCTTCTTCTTCGCGGTAGTAAAAAAATATTTCTAGATGTCTTAGTTTTTGTGCAATAAATTTTTAAAAAGTGCATATCTTCGTCAAAAAACCGTCTTATTTTTAAAACTAAGCAAAATCGCCCAAAAAAAGTTTTTCTACATTGTCATAAAAATCTACATCCAAAAACGCTAAGAAACATATGGTGTTTCATTCAAAAAAACACAACTTTGTATTGTAACTTATTTTTGAGACACGCTGTATAGTTGAAAATAATTTTAGTATCTATCATGGTCCTATATAATTTTATTAGATTTTACCATTTAAAGGTCACTAATGGACTTTTTCAATTCGCTGGGACACCTGTATTTTGATTAACAGTTATTTTTTCTCGATTTTGTCGGATTTTTGGCGTAAAATTTCTGTTTTACCTCACGGATTCCCCCGCTCAGTTGATAATTCTTAATATAACAGCAACCACCACCGAAAACAAACAAGCAATTAATCACAACATACGCCACATATGCACCCAGACAGTCCCCCAGTCCCGTTTTGGTTTCGATTGAATTTGAGGAGTCGGCAGTTTCTCTCTGGTCCACTCCAAGTGATAAAATAAATTTGATATTTAAAAAGCGAAGAAAAAAGCCTCGATTCATATGGGACTTTAAATATAAGAACTCCCGTTGTGGTCGACATGTACCCCATGCCAAGATAAGTGCCTTCGGAAAACATATTGCAATGATTCGCATAAACAAGTGTTCGTAATGGCATTTATTGTAATTTTTACGTTCAAAAACAACATAATTGATAAAGTCGCCGCTCTTAAATTATCCGCATTCTTGCAAATGGCATTTTTCCAGATGGAAAGGAGGAAAATCGGAACGGAGACAGATGCGAGAGAGGTTTACGAGGGGGACATTAAATTTTATTCGTTTATTACATCCGAGGTTTTAATGAATTCGAAGATGCGGTTTTCTATCAATAAAAATCACTTTCGACCAATTTCGAGCTGTAAACCCATTGTTAGCGAAGGTGAACGAGGATTTATCGACGGCCAGGAGGCGAATAAAAACTTTTTACAATCAAGCAAGATAAGATACAAAGAACATGAAAAAATTCTATCTGTGAAAAAATTTTGACATTTATTTTTTGACATTTCACATTTTTTATGTCTATTTAATGATACTGATGATCTTGTATATGTTTTTTTTTATAATTATTTAGGAAAGGTACGAAAATTTTGCCAATAAAAGCTACAAATAACATTGAACAGAGTTACAATTTAGGATACAGCTTCCTTGTTTCCTCTTCTAACAGTCAAAGTGCAAAATTTAAACTCTCATAACTTTGAAATTTTCATAGATAGAATTGTTTAAACATTTTTTCCATGTTTTTGGTATGATACCTTACATGAGATTTTTCTCTGGAACGCGAGTTTTGGTATAGTGTCGTGGGAGCCTACAATTTTTGTGGGTCACCCTGTATAATTTTTGAGTTGTGGAATTCGCGCAAAAAGTCGCTAACAAGTTGTGCAAGTTTGTCAGTGGTGGATTTTTGCAAGCAAGCAAATAAATAATCCATCTGTGGTTAATTATCAGTCAATTAGCGATTTCCGAAAGTGCTCGACACAAGCGTTTTATTTTTTGTAATTTCCCTTTTAATATGTTGACTGAAAGCAAAACCAATAAACTATAATTTATATCGTAATATTCGCAACAGGTTTTATTGAGGGAATTAAAATACTCGTTTGTGACATGTTTTTTGCGCGATCTGGTGGCGAACTAGTTAAGCGATTGACAGCTTGGTTTTAATAATTCAGATGTATCGATGAAGTAACGCTTGATTTAATTGGCATGAGTCATGTTGGTAAATGTCGGTAAAAAAGCTCCCTGCATGCTATCACGATTCGGAACAATCAATTAGGAGAAAAGGAGGAGCAGTCGAGCCGAAAGACTCAACCAAAGCGGAAATCAAACATTTTAATACGTAATTTTCGAAAGGGTGGGCTCTCTTAATTCTTTGTTCTGTATTCTTTACTAATTCAGTCATCGGCTTTTGAACGCTTGAAGAGTTTCGAACTTTCGGTTTACAGAACGATTTATCTGTTTTAATTCGTCTTTATCGAGCTAATATTTGTCGAGGGGATGGAGGAGTTTTCGTACCGATCGATATAAGTGAAGACCAAAAAGACCCAAGAAGTGCGGAAAACCCTCAACTTACCGGTTTTTGGTTAATTAGAAGGACAGACCCGGCCTCGACCAATTCGTCCCATCAAACCGCGGTACCTATGGTTGAAAAAAATCATTGTTTACTATTTTTTATTCAGACTGTTTGATGTTTGGAGGAGGCCCGGGGTAATTACAGCTAATAGTATCGAAAGAGGATGTCACCAATATATCGATGTTACCCTTCGAACGGCTTCCTGTCGAGCTTCCGACTTGCTACAACAACGCAGGGACGGACTCGAAACAGATATTCAAAAACATTTTTTAACGCCCAAAATAATTCAGTCATCTTTGTTTGTTATCTTTATTAAAACACCTTGAAACTAAAAATACATAAAACTTTTTTAACACCTTATTCCAACCGTAGAAAAATTCAAGGTCACACGCAATGTTCATTTATGTATTCCATACACAAAATTTATAAAAAAATGTCAATTTTTTGCCCATATGTAAATATTTTTGCTATACCCACAAAAACGATTTCAAGGCCACTTTTGTCAATTTTTAAATTGTTCATAAAGTTTTTTTTAATATTTTGTTTAAATTGAATCAGGCCCCTAGCTAGAAACAATTTTTTGGTAGACCGCCCAAAATTTTTAGTGGGGCTAGAACAGTTCGATTTTATTTTTTTAAATTCTATATTTTGTCATTATAGTAGTCATTTATGACGTTATTCGTTTTTGAGTTGTGACGTCATTTAATAACAATTGACATTTTGTTCACTGTTTTAAATAGCACACAAATTTATCTTTCTAGTAAATAGAAAAAAAAAAAACGAAAAATGAAATTAAAACTTGAA